TGGCTGCATGCCAAATATCTTTGGGGAAGATACTAACCCCATGTTTTGCCTACTGGTGGTGGTCAGAGGGCCTGGTGGCACCAGTGTCCGGCAGCCTCGCCTCTGTCAGTGCACCCCAGGGCAGCTGTGGCTACAACGTAGCTTACCATTGCCTGTGTGTGAATGGGTAAATGACTGAATGTAGTGTAAAGCGCTTTGGGGTCCTTAGAGACTGAGTAAAGCACTATACAAATGCAGGCCATTTACCATCTTCTGGTGCTTATCTGGGTTTGGGTCCCGAGTGCAACATTCTGAGACGGGAAGGCCAAATTTCTCACCCCAGTCACCTCTTCCAGCTCATCTGGGGGGGGCACCAAAACATTCCCAAGCCAGCTGAGAGATGTTGCCTTTCTCTTTGAAGGAAATTCATGTCTGCCATTTGTACATGTGACCTCATTCTTTTGGTCACTCTCGAGAGCTTGTGACCATAGGTAAGAGTAGGACGTAGACCGGTAACTCGAGAGCTTCACTTTTATCCTAAGCTCTCTCTTCTCTCTTGCAAACTACTCATGAACAACATCCCAAGATACTTAAATCCCTCCACCTTGGACAGTAACTTGTCCATGACCCAGAGTGGGCACTCCACTCTTTTCCAGCTGTGAACCATGGTCTTGGATTGGAGTTGCTAATTCTCATTCATGCTGCTTTGTACTCAGCCACGAACCGCTCCAGTGCAAACTGGAAGTCATCACCTAATGAAGCCAAAACGCTAAGATGAAATCCTGAGGCCACCAAAGTGGAAACCCCCCCACCACCTGGATACGACTAGATATTCTGTCCATGAAACACCCAACACATCCAGGTTTTTGCTGCAGCCACTGCCCGAGCCGTGTTCCGCTTGGTCTATTGGCACCCATGAGCTGTTCCTGGAGTCCTACAGGCTAACCAAGCCTGACAGGCTTCCTTCTTCAGCTTGATACCTCCTTTTACCTCCGGTGTCCACCATTCGGTTTGTTTACCACCAAGGTACAAAACACCTTACAGTTGCAGCTCAGTGCAGCAGCCTCAGCTGTGGAGGTGCTGAACATGGTCTATTCAGACACCCTC